GGGAAAGAGGGGCAGGCCTTTTGCTCAGCTCTGAGCCAAACTCCCCACCTCGGAAGGTAAAATCTTGTTTTGTGCTTCTCTTGAGGCTGAATTCCACCCCGCAGAGGAATTAACTTCATATTATGTTTTGTTTCTTGTGAACAGGAAAACAAATCTTTTGTGGTGAATAGCATTGAGTCTGCCAAATATTGATCCTGTAACGAATGGGGGAAAACTGAGTTCAGGCTGGTCTGGTTTTCCTCTCTAAGGCAGGGAACCCCCCGTTACCCATGGAATCTGCAAAGGCAGGGCACTGCCTCTGCTGTGCACCCCACGAGTGGCGCTGAACCCTGTTCTCCCTGGTCATCTCCTGTGGTGGGAGCAGAGGAGCTGAGAGCATGGAGGGAGGCAGGGAAGAGGCAAGGAGGGGCAGGCAAAGATGGGGGGCTGCCCAGGGAGGAGGGCAGCATTGGTGGGGGGTGCTGCTGAGGCAGAGATTGGTTCAGAGCAGGAGGAGGTGGGGAGAGAAACCAGGGCAAGAACTGCAGTGCTTGGATGGTCAGGTGCTGTGGTTTGAGGGGAGGCTGCTGCTTTTCCACTGATGATCAGACCCCAGTGAAAGCCTTAACGATTTAAAAATTATTTTCCCTATCACCCTGCCCACATCTTCTCCCTGCTGCCTCTCCTAACTGTGTTGCCCCTCCAGCCTGGCTTCCAGCACAATGTTTCTGTGCTCCTCTCAAGGACCCTGCTGTGTCATTCCTGCCCAGGTGCTGGCACACCTCCCTGCTCCCCTCCCATCCCCTGTTTGCAGTGGGTGTAGCCTCCTCCACCCTGTGAGCCTGCTGTATTACTGCCTCTCCACTTCACCCCCCTTCGTCTTGCTGGTTGCTCTTTGTTGTACTGAAGCTGTCTGCAGCACCATAAACTCTTTGCGGCCTGGTTGGTAGGGATACTAAAGCATGTACAGCCCACTTGCTGTTGTATGCACAGACTATTGCTCTGCAAATGCCTCTTGGCTACAGCTCAACTTCTTTGAACTCCTCTAAACAGTTTTTATTGTGATGGATTAGACTTTTCAGTGCAGACTGTTTTGAAGACTGATAAAATGACAGATCTCTGACTTTAACTTTCTCTTTCTCAGTTGTCTGCTCTTTCCAGCAATGAGAAGCCAGTTGGGGGGGATTTCTCTACCAACTGTTTTGGTTGTGTTCCTGTCAAGTTATTTGTGCTTTTTAATGCTGCAGAAAGACCAAGCCCAGTTGCCATCTCTTGGCTAAGTCCATCGTCTCTCTGGATATCCCCCAAATGTCCGTGTAGCTTTCACCCCAGGTGAATGGCTGTAGGACCAGGCTGAGCCCAGTCTGCAGAGCGGATGCAGGCTCCTTCCCCATCAGTGAGCAGGGTCCTGGTTTCCAGCACAGGGATGGAGGCTCTGCTGGTGTGAACAGATCCAGGGGGTGCACTGGGGTCACCAGGGTCCACGTGCCGAGTGCCCACCCTGGGCTACTGCATGTGCTTTCCAAGTGTTTTTGGAGGTCCTCCTGATTTTGACCCACTGAAGCAGGTGCCTGTGGTCCTCACCAGTCTGGGGATGTGCATCAAGTACTCCTGGTAGTGTCGTCAGGTTGACAATCCTTCCAGGCTGAGAGAGTTGTATCTATGGGTTATGTTAAAAACTCAACTCTTCTCCTTTCCTTTCACAGTGCCCTGCACACAGGGATGCCCTGTGCCTCCACCAGGGTGACCAAAAGCTACGTCCAGGGGGCTTCAGACATTCCCCTTCTCAACAAAACCGTGGGCCAGTGCCTGGATGAGACTGTTGAGCGGTTTCCTGGGCGGGACGCCTTGGTCTTCTGCCACGAGGGGGTTCGGAAGACGTTTGCTCAGTTCAAAGAGGAGGTGAGAGCCTGGGTCACCCTTCCCAGATCCTGGGCACGTGGATAATGGCAGCAGCAGCAGGAGTGATGGGGAAATGGAGAATGGCTTCATCGCTCAGCTCAGGAGTGAGGTGTATCATACGCAGATCTTCACCCTGGCCCCGAGCAGAGGGCAACAGCACCTCCCCAGCACACACCAATGGGTGTGTGCTGCCTTTGTCCTCCTTACAGTCCTGAGCTCAAAGGGAGAAGGCAGTGTGTGCAAAAATGCTTGCTGAATACCCCAGAATGAACTTTAATACTTAAAAATTATCACTTCTATCTCATGTGTTACAGGCTGAGTCACGGTAGTTTTCCCCACTGGAGTAGGCTCCAGCTCATGTATTAGTCACTCTGCTCTGACTGTCAAGTCTGTGGAGGTTCCTAGTCCAAGCACAGGGGCAACTGAGCAAAGTCAAGGACTTGGTCTTGATATCATATGCAAAAATGGGTGTGGGTATATCTATGCATGTGTGTGCATGTTACATACAAATATATGGCTATATATGTATTCTGAATGGAGGGGCAATATTTCAGAGCTTAGTATCTGGAAAGTTTCTATTAAATGTATGGTATGATCTTGGATAGAAAGAATCTCTTACTTTTTTTGGTTTTTTTTAGATTTACTAGCGTTTTGGTTGCATTCATTTAGATAAACAAGATGAACTCTTCACCTTGGTTTTAAAAAGTAGGCTGTAATTCAAAACTAAACCAGAGAAGATAACAAAACCACAAAAACTTTCTTGAATACCCCAGAATATTTATGCACGCATCTACACAGCTGAAGCACACTTACCATCTTGAAAATGAAGAAGTCATGTTATTACAGTGGCTGAATTCAAGATAATGAGGACAGGAACCCCAGACTGGTCAAAAAAATCCCTTGATACAGTTTTCATCACCCGAATCTTTTTCAGAGTGAGCAATGTGCCAGACCAGAGGCAGACCCAGCCATGTAGGTAGGATGAAGCCCTACCTGCATGCTGGGCCTGAGTTGATGTACAAGTCATCAACTGAGGGGAGCCAAACCCTAAGTAGTCTTTGGGCAAGGATTCATTTGCAACTATTAGTACATAATTGCCTATTTTGGTTCCTTCCTGCTTTTTCATATTGTTCCATGCTTGTTAGTTTTCTGCTTTCAGTCAGCCTGCAAAGCAGGGTCAGGCCTGTGCTCTGTGGCTCAGAAGGTGCTGCTGCTGCACCGTTAGCTGACAGACTGAGCAGCAGAGGGACCTCCTGTCTGATTTCAGCTGCAAAGATGATGTTTTTTCTCCAGAAAGAAATGCCTGTAGACAAATATCCCTCACTGCATCATCCATGTGATCCTCAGACTCTTGTCTTTTGCAGGTGGACCAAGCAGCTGCTGGGCTTCTGGCTCTTGGCCTGAAGAAAGGAGACCGGCTGGGCATGTGGGGTCCCAATAAATATGAGTGGGTTCTCATGCAGTTTGCAACTGCCCAGGCAGGGATCATTCTGGTAAGGAGTTTGCAGTGTCCTGGTTCTTAGCAGTGTGTTAGGAAAGGAAATGGAGACAAAGAAGCAAAAGGAGATACTAGAGAGTGAAGTTGTCTCCTTTTCCGTGCTCTTACCCAGCACGTTGACTGTAACAGAATCCAGTATTTAAACAAGGTTTGTGCAGTCCTCTCCACCTTTATCCTCCTCTAAATAGCAAAGCAGACTGCAGAGGAAGGAGCAGCAGTGGAGAGGTGGACAGGAGAAAGCTCATATTTTCATGGCTGTCCATCAAGAAGCCTGACTTGCACTTGAGTCTTGAGTCTTCAGTTGAGTGGATTGAATGTCTGCCTGGGAGACAGGAGTTTTGGTTTCCATTCCTGAAACTCTGGTTTGACCATGTGACCTCACATCAATCTCTTCTCTTTTTTTGATTGTTTTCTTTTGTGCAGACAAAGGATTCAGATAATTTTCCTCCAGGCTTGTCCCTGGGAGAACTTTTGGACTACATGTTAGGGGAGAGGGTTTTCAAGGCAAGGATAACTCTGATCAATCTTCTTGTTTCTCCCTCTTCAGGTATCTGTGAATCCAGCCTACCAGGCCCTTGAGCTGGAGTTTGTCATCAGGAAGGTTTGTACAGCACTTGTTGATGCTAACTGATTTGTTGTGAGAACAGGCAGTGCCTGTTGAAGGGCATACTGGAGACAGTACAGATGAGCTTCTGCTTAAGACTTGGGCATATCCAGGAGAGCTGGCTGGAGAGCAGGGCTGGGGGTGGCTGTGTAGAGGGAACACCACGTAGAGCAACCAAGGGGATGAAGCTGCAGTGACGTGGTCAAGTTTGTTGTCCTTCCCTGTGGCTGTCACCATGTCTGATGAAGACTTCTGCATCCTTCTCATCCCTCTCACTCTCAGCTGACAACAATGTACTGCCAGTATTACACCAGTAACAACCATTTCTGTCAGCAATCGTTTACTAGGGGATGAGGAAAGCAAGGCAAAGCTGAATGTCTGACCCAGGGACTACCTGAGAAGCTGACAGCCCAGACAGCAGGGACTATGTAGTAACAGAGCATGGCTGCAGTCCCCAGAGGCATCATCTGTCTTAAATCAGTTCTGACTTGCCCACACTCATGCTCCAGCCTGCCCAGGAGCGAGAGCGACGTGCAGCTGCCTTCCCCAGCTCGGTGCCATCCTGCCTGCCTCCAGCTCAGGGCAAAAAGTCACCATCTGGGATTTTAACCTTGAAAGTAGGAAAGGAGAAGGCTCAGGAATTGCCAGCCTACTTCATAGCTTGATCTCTCCTTCCCAGATCTGTCCTAGGCTTTGCTGGCCTTGAGTTTAACGTGGTTTAAGTGTTAGGTGTTACCACTGCTTGATATCTTTCTGCTGTCTGATCCTTGCTGCCTCAGCTACCCTTGTATACCTGCCTGGGTTTGAGTTTGCAATGTGCAGAGTACCCATCAGTTTAAACTGTTCTTGCTCCTTAGCTCCAGTAATGAAGAATCCAGGCAACCAAACATTTGACAGTTAGAAATCAATCCTAGGATTAAGGAGCCAAATTGATCATCTGTGATTTGTTCAGCTTTAAATCAAAGGCTGATATTACAAGAGCTGGAATCACATCTGTGTCTTCCCAGCACCATCCAAGTTCTGGCTTTACCTACGAAGAAGTGGATAATTTCTGGCAACAAAGAGAGACTTTTCTCTTACATCAGTAACTCTATAATTTGGTTTCTGGGCTGCAATTTGAGTTCTCATTTCATCCTGCATTTAATCCTTTTATAGTAGTCTCACTGGTGTCACTTCTGTTTCGTGTGTTAGGACTGTCACAGTGCTGTGGTGAAGCACGTCTCTTCCAGTGTGGGTGTCCTCTTGCTTCTCTCTCCAAGTGGATAAGTAAACAGCAGGACTTTCCTTTTTTCCTCAGTCAGACCTGGCTTTCATGGTTTTTTTCTACCTCTGTGTCAGAGTCTACTCTGGTTTTTCTCCTCCAGTGTAAATCTGGAGCGTGGATGGGGTAAGAGCAGAAATATGCTTCAGCTCCTGTGCAGGAATTTCTGAAGGACAACGGACACGACTTTATCTCTTGGGAAGTGAACAATCCAGGCAGTAGTGCCAAGGCATACGTGACAGGACAAGTGTAGAATGTTCCTGAGGCATCCTTGAAGGGCCAAACAGAGGAAGATGAGTGATACTATAGTAGCTTTTTGCAGATGTCTCACAGGATGATAAAAACCACAAGCAGGGTAGAGACTTGGCAGAAGCAATGTGCATAATATCCAATTAACAATGTGCTTGGAGCATGTGAACAATAATTTTTAACCAATCCCGAGTGTACATTAGGTGTGTGGGCAGCTTGGAGCTGTACATAAGCTGGGTTATTTGGGCAAATAAAGGAGAAGGATCGTAACTGTATCGGTGTTACATCGTTACTCGGGTCCTGCCACTGTTCTGGGATCCCTGCAACAAGCTCCTTTGGGGATTACTCCTGTCTCACTAGCACTTCTAACTTTCCTGTTTACCTTTGGCACTGGGATCTCTGCTGTCCCTCACTCTCCTAATTGTTTGCATTTATTTGCACAACAAACCCTCCGAAGACTTTAGGGCTTTGCCTGTTGGATCCTCTCAGCCTGTGCAGTCCCTTCCTTGCTCCATCAGGTTCTCTCTCTTTGGTGTACACAGAAATACATGCTGGATAACCATGCTTTATTTCCAGGGCTTTGTAAAAGCAAACTGATCACAGGTTTCATATGATGTGTCCTTTGAAGACAGATCTGCTGACATTCCAGTTGAGACTGGGTGGGAGATACCCAGCTAGAAACCCTTATCTCATATAGCATCTGCCCTGCAAGCTCCTCTCTTCACAGAGAGTCTGTTTTGCAAAGCTTGTCCACCAGAACAGTAGTTAGAAGGAACTAATAGTAAAAAGTTACAAAGGTCCAAAACATACTAGAACAGACTCATTCCCCTGGGTTCTGGGAAGACAGTTCCCAGAACATAGAGCAAATGTTTGTCTTCCCTTTGACAAACCCCAGGCAGTGCTTACAAATGATTTATTGGCATAGCCTCAGTCTCCTTATTCCACGGACCTTGGGAAAATAATGAAAACAATCAAGTAAATAATTTCTGTAAATAGTTTGACAAGAATGCGTTTTTTTTGGAAGACAAAAGCACTTTGCAAATCTTGGTCAAATTCAGCAACTCTCCTCTGCTGAAAAAAAAAAAAAAGAATAGAAATTCTTGGAGTAGTTAAGGTGCATGGTTTCAGGATTATGTAAATGTTAAATAAAAAAAAGTTTTAATTTTAAAATTAGCTAATGCTTTTACTGGAGGTGAAAAAATCTTAGGAAACATAACACCTTTAAAAACCCCACAACAAAACCTTGGCTTGACCTGAAAGGCAGTCTTTAACTTTTCTTGCTTTTCCAAAGTTCCTCAAAAATCCTCTTTTCAGACCAACTCTAATTAAAATATTCTGTATTTTGGGACTGGGCTTGTTGTTAGCGTTGGGACTCCTAACCTGGAAAGATCTGTTGTGTGCCTTGTGCTCGCAGTGAGGAGCGTTGATTCGGGGAGAAGAGGGAACTCCAGGCTGCAGCTCTGCTCTTGCCCAGCCAAAAGCGACCAGCCCATCCCAAACTGAGCACTGGAGAGGAGCAGAGCACTGGCTGCACGCCTGGATGAGGGCTCGGGGTGCTGGGTGTGCAGCACCAGCACCCTGCCCTGCGCTTGCAGGAGCTCCAAGGACTCCTTTTGCATTTGGCTGGTGAGCCTGCCAGCAGGAGGCACGTCCTCAGCCCTGGGAGCGTGGCTGCTGCACCCTCACCGGGCAGAGACCAGTGTCATGCTCTTCAGTGAATCTTTAAACCACTGTGCACCGTGCCTCTTATTAGGAAGGTGTTAAAATTCTCCAGTTTTAATCCAGAGAGAGCTCACTGCATCATGTGGTCACAAAAACAAGCCATGGAGAGCATCCTGGTGGGGTGCTAATGGCTAACGCTTGCTGCCTGGGGTCACGTCCCTGTGCTGGTGGTGACTGCTCTTTATCGTGTCCTGAACATCAACCCGACGTGACTTCTCATGAGTTTCTGTCTCCCTTCACAGGTTGGCTGTAAGGCACTGGTGTTTCCCACTCAATTTAAAACCCAGAGATACTATGATATTCTAAAGCAGTCATGTCCCGAGCTAGAAAAATCCAGTCCAGGGGGAATAAAGAGCAAAAGGTGAGTTAGGAACATCTGACCTCACAGCCATGTCCTGCCTTATGTCCTCTCAGCTGCACAACACAGCCTCTAGCAGAAGGACCCACAGAGGGTCTCATCTTCAGATAACAATTTAGGATCTCCTGGAGGTTTGCCCTGACTGGCGTATGCCTGTCCAGGCAGCTTTCTCCTTGCTCTGTTATTGTTGATGGTGTTTTTCTTCCTACCAGGCTACCTGACTTATCCATTGTCATCACAGTGGACTCCAAGCTGCCTGGCACCTTCCACATGGATGAAGTGATGCAGGCTGGGGACAGCAGCCATATGAAGCAGTTAAGAGCCGTGCAGAAGACCCTCTCCTGCAATGAGCCCGTCAACATCCAGTTCACCTCAGTAGGTGCTTCTGCCTGCTCCATGCCTTGAGGTTGGGTTCCTTGCTGGGGACACGGGGAAAAATGTGTGGGACCCTGGGTGTGATGATGAGATGCTGCTGCATTTCTTTTGCCCTCTGAGACCAAGCCCTGGTTCTATTTTCTATAGGATGGAGGAAATGTTCTAGCATTTCCCCTTGCTGCTTCCATTCTTGCTGCTCAGCCCTTTCTCAAGGGCTGATGGAGATGAAAGGGTGTCATGTGAATTCTGCCCAGTGGAAGTTGGACCATTTGTTTGTGTGGTTTGGGATTAAGATGCTATTAAAGAAGAAAATAAAATCTCTCAGGTCTGAAAGGAGAACAAAGTGCAAAAATCACCTCAGAATCTGCCTGGGAACTTGCTCCTGAAAGCACATGGAGCTCCTCCTTGGGAAGGGTGGAATCATTGTGTACACTCTGTGTCTTTCAGGGGACAACAGGAAGCCCCAAAGGAGCCACCCTCTCTCACAGGAACATTGTGAATAATGCCAACCTGATCGGCCTGAGGCTGGGGATCACGGAGCAGGTGGGTCTCGGGGGAAGCAGAGTCTGAGGTGGTGCCCACTGCCACAGATGGACCACGTGTGTGGAGAGCGTTGGTACTTGCTCAGCAGAAGGAGCATCTGTTTGCTACAAATGACATTGAGGGATACTCTTACATAACATTATTTAACTGATGTTTTATTTTAGCTTTGTGTGAAGCTTTTTTTTTTTGAGGAAAAAAGATGCCTTTTTGTGATGGAAAAGAAATTGTGAAATTGATCACTTTTCACTTCGAATACTCGTTTCAAATAATTACAAGACTCTGGATGCTAGCTTTGAATTCTGTTGAACGAGGTATTAATTTACTTTACATGACTTTATTTCATGTCATGTACACAGTCTCATCAGGATCTGACCTTTCTATTTGTACTTCCCTTTAAAAATTGTTAAAGGCAAATATTTTCTTTTGAAGTTCTGAAGTACTTATTTCTAACACAAGAGCTTTGATCCAGAAAAAAAGATGAGTTGTTTCAATCAGTCCTCGGAGCCTTTAATACTTTTAAAAACCAAATAAAATTAATAGCATGTGCCAAGTGCTGCATATTTCATGCCTGTCATAGCACTACTTCTCTCTTCTGGCATATCATAAAATAATCTGTAAGCAATAACAGACCAAAAAGTCCTGGAAAGACAAGAAATTACAGAATTAGAGTGAAATTTTGACACTGAAAATTTCCCAGAACGATTTTTATTAAATGCAGGAAGCACCAGCATCATGTTTCCCCCTAACAGGAACACAGATGAACATCAGATTTCCAGTAAGTTTTCAGTGAACTGGGGAAAACTTCTCCGTTTAGATCTTTGCTCCTCAGCAGTGAGACAGGCTGGGCATGGACTGGAAGATCTCAGCTCCTCACTGCTGTCTTTGGTTTGATCCCAGGACTGTCGCCTGGCCATGCCCGCCCCCCTCTATCACTGCCTGGCATCGGTGGGAGGCTGCATGGTGATGGCTCTGCACGGCTCCTCCTGCATCTTCTCGTCACCCAGTTTCGAGGGGAAGGCTGCTCTGGAGGCAGTGGCTCGAGAGAAGTGAGGGCTTGTTCGGGGCTTGCTTCTGAGTTGGCTGCCTCGCAGTGCTGCTTTCTCCCCTTGCCTCTCCTGCTCTTCCTTCCCACCATGGGAGAGGCAGGTTTGCTGGTGCACACACACAGGCACTTCAGGAGCCTAAATCCTGGCTTTTCAACTGCCCTTGGGAGTTGGTCACACTCCTGTTTTCCCCAAAATAAGGAATCCTTCAGGTCACTGTGAGGCTTTGGCTGGAAAGCATGGTGGTGTCTTGGTTTGCTATGGCTGCTGTGTTTTTACATCTGATCAGCTGCTCTTCTCCAAGTCCAGCTCTGCCGTGGAGATAGTGACATTTCCAGCTTGTTCTTCATGTGTAGCTTGTATAATAAGAGCTATCATAGTGTCTGCACAATCCACACACATACATATATATATATATTATACATACACATGTGTGAGTGCATGGATATAGAGCATGTCTGCTGTGCCTGCCCCTGTGCTGCTACTCCATGGCTTCATGTGTGATGGGACAGGATGAGCTGGGATGGAATAGGGTGGGACAGGACCGGGGGGACAGGGTGCTGAGCTGGGGCTGCCCTTGGTTCCAGCTCTGCAGCTTTGCCCTTTCTCTCCCCTTCCTGAAGATGCACCTTTCTCCATGGCACCCCGACCATGTTCATAGACATGCTCGCCCAGCCGGACTTCGACTCCTACGACCTGTCCACCCTGCGGGGAGGTGAGTCTGACAGCTCCAGCGGGAAAATCTCAAGAAATGCAATATCACTGGCTCCCTGCTGGGAGGCTCTATCCAGCTTTGTAAGCAAACAGTTCTTCCGGAGGGAAGAGTTTAGTTGTACGAACATTCTGTTTCACCATTAATTTGATGCTACGTTTCCTTTCCTTGGGGCTGCCTTTAAAAACTATGCGTTTTTAAGATTTCTTTCATCTTAAAGCAGATGGTTCTGTTCTACCTGCTAGATCAGGAGCTGGGAAGCCTGGTTTTGCTCAACTCCCATCTCACCAGCTACCACTGTGTGGCAGCAGATGCTTTGTGTGCTTTAGGCTGGTGCAATCCCTAAAGCAGAAGCTACTCTGATTTCTCTGACCTGAAGTTTCCAGCCCGTTTCTGAAGTCACTCATCGAAGCGCTGGCGAGGGAGTGATACTGTGTGCTGGAGCTTTCTCTCTCATCAGATAGCCTCGGAAATAGCTGAGCTGAAACAGAGAGACCACCAGCCCTTTTGAGACAATAACAGCGCGGAGAGAAGGTGGTGCTGGAGCATAAAGAAATGTTTAAGCTGATTATCTAGTCATCTCTGCTATGTAAAAAACAACCCTGTCTCATCTCGTTCCCCAGCAAAGCCTATATACTACCCTGCTCTTTTGCTCTGTCATTCTGGGATGGGACAGGTGAAAATGTGATCTGTCCTCTCCCAAAAGGGCTGCTGTGTCCAAGGCAGAAGGAAAGGGGTTTGGTTTTATGGTGGTGATGATTGATGAGAGTGTTTGTCCTGCTAAAAATTCTGCTCTGAATCTTTCCTTTTTGGGAACTGCAGCTTGGACTGGATTTGTGCTATAGAGTTTATTTTCCTAACAAGTGAACATTGCCAACTCTTAATTCATTCAGGCAAACCGGCGTCGCTGCAGCCTTTGCTTCTAGAATAACTAGGACCTGTATCCATAAAAATAGAAAGTACTTTGATAGGAACCAGTGCATCCCAAAGGTCTTCCCAGTGTTTAAATGTGGGAGTGCAGAACCTTCTGAGGGTCCACTCCTGGGAACACAGATGATTTCTGAAGGTGGTCATCTTTTTCTTCCAGGAGTCATTGCAGGTTCCCCCGTTCCCCCTGAGGTCATGAAGATGATTATGACCAAGATGCACATGCCGGAGATCGTGGTGAGTTGTGGTTGCCTTGATTAGAGCTACAAGTGACATTTGTCATGGTGTGAGACCCTGGGCTTGGGCATCTCTGCACCACAGCGGTGCTGGGGCTGTTGGGATCAGGTGTGATGGGACCACGGGTGCAAGGTCAGGCTGAGGAGCAAAGGGGTACAGGGGCTGGGAGGGAGATGGAGGATTCTGGCGGGTGCTTGGGGAGGAGGAGGCTTTGTAAGAAGAGAAGACGTTGCCTTCAGTGTTGTAAACTGAGCGTCAGCTGGAGCGTTTCAAAGCTTTCACCAACCCTTCTGTTGTACATGCTGCAAGGCTGAAGGCTGAGGGACGAGGCGTCGCTGGTGTGTATGGGTGGGGGAGGGGGGTGCACGTGTTCATCTTCCTGCAGAGCTGCTGGGTTTCCTTCCCCATCCTGGGCTGCATGCAGATATAAAACCTTGGGCACGCTACGTGTTTGAGTCTGAAGGTGGGGACGGCACCATCCTCACGTGCAGCACCAGGCCTTGTCTTGCCAGGCGGGCAGCACGTGTCAGAGCACGTGTGCTGCTGCCCTGCCACATGTCCCTGTGTCCCTGGCCTGTGCGAGAGCATCAGCATGTCCTGCATGCAGCAGGGGGCAGGTCACCAGGGAGGGGGTCAGTGGCACTCCAGGTGACACGTTTCGTAGGCGGGTCCTGCCATCTGCACGGCTGTGCCTGTGAGCAGATGCCTGAGCCAAAAAAGGGCTTTTTTGTTTGACTTTAAGCAAAGTAACTCCGGTGCCCCACTGCTTGTGAATGCTGAGGGAGCAGACTGTTGTGATGGGTAAACACAGGGACTGGGAGTCACAGTAGGTGTGTTACTCTTGGCAGACCAGGGTTGCACCAGTGCTGGAGCTTTACAGGGGTGGCTGTGTGCTCTGCTGCAGGCCAGGGAGTGCAGGGCATCTGTCCTGAAACCCTCTCAGAGGCAGGCAGGGATTTGTCCTGGATGTGATGTTCTTAATGCCGAGCTGAAAACAGCAGGGACTATCCTGGACTCTGCCAGGTCACAGCTACCTATTTTCATAGTAGGCTTGAGTTTGGCCTCACTAAATATTTTCAGACATTACCGCAAGTGCCCGGGACTCATTAGGTGTCACATGTTCCTGCTTTGTAGGGAGAAATAATAAACCCCTCCCAAACAGTTGCTCTGCCCATAGGATAAAGAGGATTAAGTCTATATTTGTGCCACCAGCCTCATGTTACTTCTGATCCTCCAGCCCTCAGACAGAGACAGGGAGACTTGTTGACTTCATCTTTGCAGCAAGAGCTTTATACAGAAGATGTACATAAGAAAATATACAATTTCATTTCTATATAGGAGACAGAGGAGTTTTTGTCCTCTTAAAGGTCATTTACACTCAGTTACAGAGGAATAAATATACATATATTTATATAACTCTTTAGGATTAAAAAACACAGCTAATTTGCAACTGTGGTACTGTAATAGCCATGACAATAGACCGCAGTCATCCTGGTGTCCTGCTAGATCCTCTGGAGAATGGGCAGAGAGAGGAGGGGTGCCTGAGCCAGGCTGCATGGTGCACACCACCTCCTCTCAGACATACGTGGGTCTTGGTGGACCCCACCGAGTGGGAGGGAATCCAGTCTTCAGATGGCTCCAGTTTTGGGGTTTCCCAGTACTGCTTCACCTCAAGGATTTCTGGCCAACCTAGAGAGACTGCTGCCTTTGAGCGTGAAAGGGCAGCTCGGTCTCGGGGCCACCACTTCTTGGTCATTGCTCCACCTATCCCCCTCAGCCCTGGCCTGCAGGGACCCCCTCCGTGGGAAGGCAGAGGAGTCTCTTTGCATGGGTTCACATCACTTTTCCTGATCAAGCAGCTGGGGGAGGGATGCTCCTACCTTCCCACTTGCTTCCACTCCACTGGAAGAGGAGAGACAGCGACCAGCTGGGACAATAGTTATGTTGCCTCTGGGAAAGATGACTGTGTTTTACCAGCAGGATCTAGCTTAGCTTGTCTTAGTATGGTCATGCATAGTTTAGTTTTTAAAAATGCCTGTTTTAAAGTAGATAGATGACGGAAAATATTGAAAAGGTGGATTCCATCCTGTGATCAGCAGAGAAGCGGGGATTCGGAGGAGGCTGGACATGTTTGGATATATCAGAAATGTTTCCTGACAGGTAGGAGAAGCTTAAGGAAGGACTCAGAAGTCAGTAGTTTTCTGATGGTTGAAGTGACCAGTCACCAGGACAGGCCATACCGGAGCCTGCTGGGGGAAAAAAAAAGAGAGAAGGCCACATGTTTAAGGGGATTTTTCAAGCAGATCAATGAGCTTCTAACATTTTTCTGTTTATTTTTACAAGGAGCGAATGAAGCCCATGCTTGAAAGTAAAGAGTTAGGAGTCAAGGAGCCATTACAAGTCTCCATGGTAGAGGAGATGGGTTCGTCCTGTCCTGACCTCTTCAGCCAACTTGCTATGTGACTCTTGAGTATCATACCCGAAGTGTTGATGGCCAGTGAGCACTTCCTTTGTAAAGGAAGAAACCCAAGACCACAATTTTCAAGAGCAGTAAATTATTTTGGTGCCCCCATTCTAAAAATCCAGGAGAGGCAGATTTTTAGAAACTGCCAAGCAGCTTTTCATCTGAAATATGGTCAGTGAACCAAGTCACTGGTCATCCCTGAAATACAGACCTCCATAGCTGACATATGAGAAAGCTGCCTGGCACTCAAGAGGTGCTGATGAAATCAGAGGTACTTCAGATTCCTTAAAATCATGCTCACCACACTGGAGTGGGTTTGTGTGCCTGCATTTTGGTACTGACACCTGAGGGTACTGAGCTTTGTCTTCTGCAAGACTGGAATAAAAAGTTTTCTGTTTCATAAACACTTGTAAATCTGTTTGAGAGAGCTGGATGGAAGGTACTATAGAAAAAACAGGTATTATTGCCATGTTCCATACTCTCATCCTGGAGGAGTGAACTGGAATTGAGTTCAGGCAGGGGGAGAAGGAGGTTAAGAAGGGCCAGACCTGTAAATAAAATGCATTTGAGTATTGTGGTTTAGGAAACTGAAGTTTTTCTGTCCTTAGAGCGGAACTTTACGCTCCCTATATGGAACGACTGGTATTTCCATCTCTAATCCATAAAACCTCTGGCACTGCAAGAGAAGTAACCACTTTAGGAAGGCGCAGAGCAGCTGCCATCATCTGTGACATTTTGGTCATAAATTTATGTTCTCCATCCTGTTATGCCTATTTTTAGTGAACTGAGGGCCAAGCCACCATAGCTGGGCTTCAGGCTTCTGCCTCATCCTTTCTGTTACGGAAGGGCACAGTGACAACCCTTGTTTGTGCAGTGCAGGGTCACTGCACTTTGCTTAACAAACGAGCAAAGGTCCCTTTCCCAGGAGCTTACAAACTTGCAGGCTCATCCAGGGCCCTTTGTAATCCGTACAAGCTCCAGACCTATTCCTGGGATGGGGAAAAGCAGAATGCTTGGGTAGAGTGATGACAGCTGTGGCTTTTTTGCTACTCTGTATGCAGAATTTAATAGTCTTGGTAGTTTCCAGTTGTGGAAGGTCTTTGTGTGATAAGTTTTCCCACTTGGTGTTTGAATTTGGTAGATGTCAGCAAGCTTGTTGCTCAAGGGGAAGTCGGCCCTGTCTCTGAATCACCTTCTGGCCCAGAACTCTTTATTCAAAGAATAATTGCTGTCTCAAACCTTCCTCCTCTGGGACGCTCATTTGAAGGCATCAGCCCCTGTTTTTAAATATCTGAGAGTCTTGGATGGGAAGTGTAGTTACTGAAAGGCAGATGCTGGACAGAGAGCTGTTTCTTCTGGAAGACATCTCTCTTCACATGGGCTGGGCAGCCTGGGGCCAGATTTCCCAGCAGCATCCTGCCCTGGATTTCAAATCAGACTCGGGGGACATTTACTAGGGCAAAAGGCTGAGCATCTCCAATCGGTTAGAAAAGTAGAGTGTGTGTGATCCCAGCTCAGGGTAGGAGGGGGCAAAGCCCACCCTTGTTCTAACACTTAATTACAGGTTTCACCCGTACTTGCTGCTCCACATCTGTCTTTAGCCCCCTGTTTGCCTTACAGGGTTGGCTCCGTCCCTGATGCTCCGGGCAGACTCTCTGCTCTGGGAGCCCGTGGAGGAGCCCAGAATCACCAGGAGATGGAGCTCAGCAGCTCTGAGCAGAGGTGTCGGTGGGTGAATGAGCGGCTGCCTTGAGCCAAACCCTAGTGCCACTGAAGTCGGAGACAGAAGTCTCCGTACCTTTGGTGGCCTCGGGGCTTGCCGCAGCTCCAAGAGCAACCCATCTTACGTGTTTAATGGCGGCTTCCCTTCTTGGGCCTCTTGGTGGGGAGCTTGCAGGCGCGGAGGGCCGGGGTGTCCCTGATGGGCTGCCCCCGGTACTGCGCGGGGCTGGAGCAGGTCTCCTCGCTGCGGGTGCGGTTGCCCTTCAGCCACCTGCGACACGGGGAAGAGCAGGAGTTGACAAGAGAGCCCAAGCACCGCCA